GCCATGTTTGGTTTCATTCCATTCAGTGGTTCTCTAAAAGAAGACATTTGTATGTATTTCCCATAAGGTCCTATTTTAAAATAAGTCCCCCGCTGGCGGCCATCTTGGATGATGGATCGGCTGCAAAGAAACAACACTTGGTCAACCCCTCATAAGGAACATTCATGCCATATTTGGTTTCATTCCATTCAGTGGTTCTTTAAAAGAAGACATTTGTATGTATTTCCCATAGGGTCCTATGTTTAACTAAATCCCCCACTGGCGGCCATCTTGGATGATGGATCGCGGCTGCAAAGTAACAACACGTGGTCAACCCCTCATAAGGAACATTCATGCCATGTTTGGTTTCATGCCATTCAGTGGTTCTCTAAAAGAAGACATTTGTATGTATTTCCCATAGGGTCCTATGTTTAACTAAGTCCCCCTCTGGCGGCCATCTTAGATGATGGACAGACTGCAAAGTAACAACACTTGGTCAGCACCTCATAAGGAACATTTATGCCATGTTTTGTTTCATTCCATTCAGTGGTTCTCTAAAAGAAGACATTTGTATGTATTTCCCATAGGGTCCTATGTTAAACTAAGTCCCCCGCTGGCGGCCATCTTGGATGATGGATGGGCTGCAAAGTAACAACACTTGGTCAGCACCTCATAAGGAACATTCATGCCATGTTTTGTTTCATTCCATTCAGTGGTTCTCTAGAAGAAGTTTAAAATGTTAAAAGTTAACGACGACGACGACGGACGACGACGACGGACGACGGACGCCAAGTGATGAGAAAAGCTCACTTGGCCCTTTGGGCTAGGTGAGCTAAAAACAAGTCAATTTTCGATTTTACCTGTGTAAGCATGATTTTTTGTGGATCGAATCAGTCAATCAAATGATTTACCTTTGTATCACTTTCAATGTTGATATTCTTTTCTTTTAATAGCCTAACACGCATCAATCATGCATAATCCATCTCTAGCTAAGGGGTTAAACTGAAGTTCACATGAATACGGATTCAATGAGGTCGAATTATTCACTTGCAAGTGAATAATTCATCATCGATGATTCTTAGCTTATTTTGACAAAATTGAACCATACTGGCTGCTAATAGCGAATAATTATTTCACTATTTCACTTTCATTAATGATTGAACAAAAGAAAAATCATAATTTAAATTTTTTATGTATCTCGTAGCTAGTGCCCCTTTAAGGCAGGAACTTCTGGTTTCAATTTCAGATTTTCCAGTTCAATTTGACATTAATACCGTGCTTTTTTGTTCAACCGTACTCTCGGACGAGCAAATCAGCCTTTTATTTATTTAGGTACAGAAATATATAATAATCAAAGAGCATGATTGCTCTGAGGGATACGATTGCCATTGTTTTCATTGATATTAGTCAGTATAATGACAAAGTGCAGGTGTGATTTTGATCCTATATACACCGTTTGGTGGTGCACCTGACAGTCGGAAAGTACAGATTATGCAACAGGTAACAGGTACTATTGGGATCGGGACTGGAATGTCGTAATTTTCAATCAACACCATTGTCCTATATAAGTTAGATTTCGCGTTCAGTACGTCGATTGAGCATGCACGACAGTGTATAAGACATAGATCGATAACGGTCTCCGAAATTTGGATATTTTCTCAAAAATTGGCATTTTCTGTGGAAAAACAAGTGTTTTAAAGACAAATTTAGGAAGAACAAAACACTAGATTTATACATGATATCACAAATATTTCCGACTTTGTATGGTTTCAGAGGATTTGGGGCTCAATGAAATCAGTCTCTTCCTTTAGTAGTATAGATTCCTTCTAAATGTTATCAATCCCACATACTAAGTGTCAAAAATAAACATTTGTACAAGCACACAAAAGTCAATCGGTTCTTTCTTTGGGCTTAGGATTCATATGGCCCAAAATGTTAAAATCCTAAACGTCTTCCAAAATTGCACACATTTAAATGATGATCGTGGGCAAGATTGTAAATTCTATCATGAAAGAAAAGCTTTTTGGAAAACGGTATCTCAATTTAACAAAAAAATCTAATGGATTAAACTAAACCCTGTTTTTTATGTTCTTCAACTTTCAACTTTGTATTTGATTCGACTTTCTTACTGTTTTGATTCATGTGCCACTGATGAGTTTTGTGTAGCATTTCTAGCGTACCAAATTATAAGTTCCATACATTTTTTGTACATGAGATTTTGCTACTCATGCTTCTGTATCTTCTGTCATTATGAAATAATCAACATTTTTCTTCTGATGCATTTCTTGATTATGTCCACTGTTCATTTAATACATTAAACATGTTTAAAGAAATTTTGATGACTGAGATATAAATACTAGCTATTCATTGATGTCTTGTTAAAAAAAAAGCTATTCATCATGTTCATTGATATCTAAATTACTTTGCCCCATTACAAATAACTGAGTACATTTTAATTTCTCAGTAAAATACTAAAAAAATTACATTAAAATTTGTTTTTTCCTTCAAAATTTTGCCCTTTTGATAAAATTTACCCAATCCAGGTAGTACAATAAAATGTATGAAATTTGGATTTGGAAAATTCAAATTGATGGAGTGATCGAAGTGATCGTAATATAAAGACTGGATTATTCGGGATGCCCTGTATGACATTATGGCACTTCTTACTGCAAACAAAGCATTCTTGTTCAAAACCATCATGCAGTTCAACACCACCGTAAATTGACTTCAAAATTTCTAATAATTATATCAATTTCACCGTGAATCTTCTGAATATTTCGTCTGCATCCCTTCGCTAAATTCTTCTGTTCAAACACGTGTGTACATTGAAAACACGTTTCGTGCTCCATTGCACATGTTTACAAACAATTTTAAACTCCTCCTTTTTTCGCGCCATACGTCAGGATACATTGATCACATGATGCAGCTTATTTTTAATTTCCGGTTGACCGGCGTTAATGGATAGATCGAAGTGATCGTAATATGACGACTGGATTATTCGGGTTACGGAATTCCCTCTCTGACGTGATTCTAAATATATATAACCCTAAATATAAATACTGCTTAATTCTGATTTTCCGTACTGGAAAATAAACGCAAATGAAAAAGGGAGATATCAAAACAGGAGGATTATGAGAAGAAATTTAACAGAATGTTGTTTAAATTCAATCTCTTGTTTGTTTTTACTTTTCATAACAGGACAATCTTAAGAATCTGAGTTGTTCCTATTAATGTAAACACAAAACGGTTGACGTGAGAGTATTGGAAGGGAGTCAATGGTAAAAGTCTACAGATTGCCTGACGGCACTCGTATCCCAAAAACCAAACGATTCAATCCTTGATGCGAATGTTCGATCATTTATAAAACATAAGCATTTCAAATATGCACACAACACTCTATACTATTTACCACGTTTATTCAGTATTTTTTTTTATGAAACTTCAATGATCTCTATTTTTTTGTACAAACTGACTATTTCAGATCATGCCAAACTTACATAATAATGAACGTATCAGAAATTTATTTGTACACTAGGAGACAAGGAGACAGATTAATAAAAGCAATTTTGCTTGTTTCTGAAACCTACCGTTATTTCATGTATCAGAATTATATACTATGTATTGATATAAATCAATATTGTTTAAACTATATGTTACTTTTTGCTATCATTGTTTATTTGCTTCGGGGGTACCTATATCCGGTGTAGATTGTACACGTGAGTGTGTATATTGTCAACGTATATTTGTTCCGCCTAACAGAAGTTCCACTGGAAACTTTGTTATAAACAATGTCATAATATCTATTCATGTTGGAACAAATATTCTATACCATTTATTCCGTTAGGAACATATACTGTAATATTTATTCCTGTGGAAATAATATTCCAGAATATGTTTTCCTTTTGGAACTTGTATTATGAAGGAACTTCTATTCTGTGACAATATGATATGCATAATTGTCATTGGACGTTTAGGAAGCAACATTCAATCAACCAATCAATCAATCATGGTGGTTAGGTCTAGGTTAACCAGAATTTATGTCATTAAAGTTGAATTTAGTACGCCTACCTAATTCTTGTTGACTTCCAACCTTTACAAACATCATTACTAAGATTATAATACTATATTTCTTTTGTTTTCAAAAGTTTATATCTTAATCAACCACCGTTTTGACCATAAACGTTAGGATATATCAACAAATAAATTAACACAGGGTATGGGAATCGACATCCTTGTGTTAAAAGACTACAATGGAAATCAAATAGATGTACTCCAAACGAGAATGAGATGAAATTCTAGGATTTCTCTAATTTTATCCTACCATCGACCTTTTTACAACACGAAGTGATAAATATATAGTATATGATTATAGTCTCGTGATATTCTGCTTCTGTTGCTAGCGAATGATTGTAATAAAAAAAAACTCAATGTCATAAACAATACCAGGCTTATATTTTTGTACGCCAAACGAGTTTCGTCTACAGAAAACACAACAGTGACGCTCGAATAAAAAAAAATGAACGGCGATTATGCATCTACTTTAAGAATGTTTATTCATATTTAAACAAATAAAGTGAGTAAAAGTTTTTTTTTTCTGTTTTCTGTTAACATGTTTAACCTGCCAAGTTGAATGCATTACTCGTGGAGAACAAATATCACATCATGATTTAACTATTCCTTGTGCAAAGGGTTACTTTGTTCAACTCAGTTCTACACAGAAATTGTACGCATGGTTATGACAACAATGCCAAAATGGAAAATTCAAAACGAAAAGTCCCTTAGTAATTGGCAAAATCAAAAGCTCTAACACATCAAACGAATGGAAAACAACTGTCATACTCCTGACGTGGTACAGGCAATTCCTTATGTAGAAAATGGTGGATTAAACCTGGTTTTAAAGCTAGCTAAACCTCTCACGTGTATGACAGTCGAGTGAATCATCATAAATCGTGTAAACCAAAAAAAATAAATTATAAAAGTAGAATGATGACAGTAAAGATCCTGAAGAAAAGTAAACTTACCCAGGAGGTCTGGCATCGGGAACAAGTCTGTTTAAAGGAATAATATCACTTGCTAAAATATTAACTTGATATTTTTGCATCATTTCAGACACATTTCGTTTTTCCTGTCCCACAAACGTTACTCCACGTCCTTTTTCTCCATTTTTCATTGGATCGTTTTTTCCATAATTATCAATTAAAATATTCCCTGTTTGGATTTTATTATTTTTCCTAAATTCTTCAGCAGATATAGACACTTTTGGCCCTTTTCTTATGTAAGTAACCAATTTAAAAGTTACAGGCGCATTACTATTAGATAAATTAACTTTTTGAACAAAAGTTGATTTCATTTTCTTAATATAATCCTGTTTGGATAGGAGTCTGTTGCTTATTAGCCATTTTGTATCTCCAGAATACACATATACTTCATATGTAAGTAACATTAGAAATACTGCAACACCAGCACCTATATAGCGTGTTCTTAGTCTCATTATTATAGCGGAATATCACAAAAGATCAAATTTGTACAGCAGAATCGTATTTACACTAAACAATTGTAAATTATATATGCTATTGCACACTTGAATAATGCATGCTCATTAAATCTTCGTAATCCTTTCATCTTTTATAAAGAATTTAACATATGAACGGAATAGCAAACGCAAATCAGTCGTTATCAGGTGACTATGGAATGAATGCAGCAAAAATAATGTTGTCACTTATTAAATATGTAAAATCCAAATCATTGAAAAGATCCATATATTCCTAACTGAACGTGACCACATGTCTTCGGAAGTCAGATGTTTATTTCTCACGTTTGTTATCATGAAGGTGACAACAGAATTGTGTCCAATGGTTGGATAATACGGTACCGACATTATGATACCCCTTTATATGTCATATTTTGTGAACGAAATGCATTATCACCTGCAAAATGACATACTCTTGTTTTAACTGATAAAAACAGGTAGATTGTCCAGGTAAAGCTATTTATATAAATAATCCTTTACTGTGCCATCGTCCTTTATTGATTTTACAAAGGGTCAACCATGTGTATCATGATACTACTTAATTTGTAATTCGAAAGCGAATGAAAATTTCTTTTAAAGGCGATTTCCATACAAAGTAAGGGAGGTAAGATTCGTCCTTTTTGATGACACGAAAAGTTCATTGCTAAGTATTTATATGATATAGGAAAACAAAAGAAAAAAAATATCCGTTAACATAAATCTTAAAATTATTATTTCATTCGAGAAAACGGTAATGCTTTCATCAATACGCTTACAACAATACACCATCGATTCTATTCCATTGTTGGAAACACATTGAAGCTTCGTTTTCAGTTTCTATATGGTAAACAACTTTTTTTCATTCGGCATCATACGTACAGCATTCGCCCATCGTCTAGATCTGTGCATACTGTATCTATAAAACCAGGATTAATCCACTATGTTCTACATAAGAAAAATCTGTACCAAGTCAGGAATATGGCAGTTGTTTTCCATTCGTTTGATGTGTTTGAGCTTTAGTTTTTGCCATTTGATAAAGGAATTTTCGTTTTGAATTTTCGAGCCTTAGTTTTTGCCATTTGGTAAAGGACTTTCCGTTTTGAATTTTTCTTTGGAGTTCGTTTTTTGTTATTTTACTTTTTACTACAACGTTCCGTTTATCGTATGCTTTGTGATATCTGTGGCACTATAAAACCAATGGCTAAAGAGGAACTAATTTTTATTCAGTGCCTAGTTACAATCTGAACTGTCTTGTTAGGGACAGTTCTTTTATACAACTACGAAAGTGACTTTAATTTAGAAAGAATTTTGTTTATGATAGGTACTTACTTTTAAAAAGCCCAAAGCCACAAATAAAATGGTTCTAAATAGTGACCATTACTTTTGGTCTCATATACTTAACGTTAGGTCAATTAAAGCCAAACTATTAAGGTCTAATTAAATACGATGACCACACATGTTGCTGAATGAAAAAGCAATTGTCATAAACTTGAACATCCCTTAAGCCAAAACATTTACAAATAGAAAGTCACGTTTGTAGTTTAACAATAATACATACATTTATAATCTTTAGAAATTATATTTAATAATTTCAATACTTTCGATCACTGCATAGTGTTACATACCCCCCAATGTTCTAGAAATATAGCATAAATTTCTTTGCTACAAATATATAACACTACAGGATCGAAAGATACCTAAAATAAAGAATCAATACACAAAACCTGAAATAAAACATAAATATATATATTATATAAAACAATCAATTGATAAATTTTACATAATTGTTCAATTTATTGTCAAAAGTTCTATGCTATCATTCTCCATCTACCATTTTAGTCTACCATTTCTCCGTCCACCATTTCTCTGTCCACCATTTCTCCGTCCACTATTTTTCCGTCCACCATACCTCCGACATCCATCACTCCGATATCCTTACTCCGACATCCATTACTCCGACATCCATACTCCGATATCCTTACTCCGACATCCATACTCCGACATCCGTTACTCCGACATCCATACTCCGATATCCTTACTCCGACATCCATACTCCGATATCCTTACTCCGACATCCATACTCCGACATCCGTTACTCCGATATCATTACTCCATCATCCATAACTTCGACATCATTACTCCATCATCCATAAATTCGACATCATTACTCCATCATCCATAACTCCGTCATTTGTATATACAATGTATAAAGAACAGTTAATTGTCATGTTTGTATATATATGAATAAATAAAAAAGTCAGTATTTGTGATCGTATAGTGTTTTAAAAACATTGTTCGTTATATTCGAATAGTACTTCAGTATTTACACGTTGTGTGTTATGCTATTACTTCAATTTATATTCGCACTGTTTGTTCTGCTAATTTTAGCAGTGGATATAAATTATAAGCCACTTCTTCCTTTGAGTTGTCTAACATTGGTGCAGAGGGAACATCTCTGGAGGTGTTAACATCACCCTCGGTCTTAGCCGACACCAGTTTACTCACTCTGTCATACTTAGGGGCGACATTCTGCATCTTGCAACCACTTCCTCGTTTGACTGAACAAGGTAACTTATTTCTATATTTACATAATATAAAAATGATAATACCTAACAAAAGAGAAATTACTAGATAAATTACGTTATACACCCAATTTGGAAAACTTGAATCTTCTTGTATGGTTTGTAAATTTTTCAATTGGTAAATCAGATTATCCATTGGGATTTCTTTAATATTTTTCAACTCTTTTGGTAGCTCAGTCAAGTTAAACTTCGGTAAGGAGTCATGGAATGGCTTCCAAAGTTTTCGCATTGTTAAATTATAATTTTGAATAACTTTCGTAAATGGATCATCCTCAAGAGTATATGAAGATTGTCTTCTATAAAACGGTAAAAGCGTAAGATAGTCATTAGTCGCAGTACATGTCTCATTTAACGCTAAAATATTCAAAGGAGGGTTAATTATTTTAGTAAACGTTGTCTTTTGCTTATATTTTTCACAAACAATGGCAAAGCGTAAGGGTGTGTTAGTGGTAACTAACCACGAACCTGACGATATATAACTTGCCATTGGAAGAACTGAGTTTGGTTCAACTACAACACGACAATATTTATCAATATCATTTCGTTTCTTCAGGAACAAAGAAGTTATGCAATTTTTACTTAAATTAATAGGATAAACAGGACTTATAATTTTACAAAATTTCGTAAAGGTGTTTGTGCATGATTGAATTTCTTGCTGTTTAAGCAATACATATTTTGACCTTTTTGCATTAACTGCAAAGTATTCTACATCCAAATCGTATTTTGCAACCATACCTATACTTGTATGATTTTTTTGCATGGGCATTGGTAAATTAAATGCCTGATAAATTTCAAATTTATTATTTGAATCGAGAAGAGGTATTGAAATGACAACTAATATTCTACTGTCATACAGGATAGTGGAACATGTCAAGAACCTATAAAAGAACCACAGGTTTTCTTTTGGATCGGTCGTCAATTCTAAATATTTTGGAAGTTTATCTTTTATTTCAATAAGAAGACCTTGTAAATTATTTGGTGTTATTGTACTTGGTGAAAGATGGCCCAATGAAAGCATGCTCAACTGATCTTTTATATGTTCTAAATAGAAAAATCCTCTTTGGATTAATTGTTTTAAATCCCCAGTTATTAAATCTAATTGAATATATATTTGCACAAAGTTTTCCAAATCTATTATTTGTTTTTCAATAGCCTCAGTAATATTGACCAAACGGATGTCTAAATCTTGCAACCCCCTTGATAATTTATTAATGGCGTCTCTATTTTGAGATACCTCTAGCCTAGTTATGTTTAAAATTGATAAATTCTCAGTCAAAATGTGTGAAATTTTCTTTTGATTTTGTGCTAATGTACGAACGTTGCCCTTAATTAAATTAATATCGTCTTCTGTCAATGTACCAAACAAAAAACTTATTGCACTACCTATTAACGGCAAAACAGAACGTTTGTGTCGATGTAAAGTTTTGAAATCGTCGAATGTATCAGTTATCGAACGATGCATGTCCATTAACAGATTAAATTCTTGTTCCAAATTTGCAAAAGTATTATAAAAATGTTCCTTTCCAGGTTGTTCATAACGTCTCAAAACAGTTTGTGCTAATGCGGAGGATTTTATCATGTCATGGGATATTCTGTTCAAAAATCCTTCAAAAGGTTTTAAATCAATTATGAAGGTTACCAACCATTTCGACCTCGTGGTGGTAACAGTATTTACTTTGTCAAATACAATATTGTCAGATATGAAAGCCAGCTCGCCAAAACCAAAAAGAAGTGTTAGAATTATATGTCCAGCCGTCCGTCCCATATCCTACAATTAAACAAAATACCAAATTTTCATGTCTAATTATAAAACCATAAAATAATTTAAAATAGTTGCTGTACACGTTAACTCTCACGGTACAACCACAAAAGATCATTCCGTATATCTCCCCCAATTTCGGCCATGAACTCAGGGCAGAATACAATCGCCCTGTTATACCTTATTTGGTTTTCCATTTGTAATCTAAGAGTGTGTAAATAAAAGAAACCCTTGTTTCTGGCTCTATCTACCACAATTTCTACGACCTCTTTAACTAAAGAAGGAATTAACAGTCTGTCGTGGTGGGAACTGTCGAAGAAAGTTTTATAAGAATCCCTAAAAATAATCCCCATCATTCTATTTTCGTGGAACAATCTGGCCTTTTGGGACCAGGTTTTATAAATTTGTTTAATAATAGAAGGAAGAATCCCCTTTTCAGCCAACGATTCGTGGCAACCCGAGTAGGCTATAAAAGCGAATTCTGTTAAAATCAACTTAAACTTCTGTTTTTGTTCCACTGCCTCAATGTCCTTCCCTTCCAAGTCGATTCCTCTGAACTGCATCTAATATAGTAATATAAATATATTAGTATTTTATATATATAAAATGCCTAGACATACATGTATATATATATATATATATATATATAATATATAAAACAAGCTACTGTTCGAGAATATCTTTTAAACATTTTGACATATCAGAAAAGATATTCAAAATTTTGTCATTTTTGGCAATGTCATCCCGCTTACTAGCAGGTTTTTCAATAAAATGATTTACTGACATTGCCTCGTCTTCCGACGAGTTAGCATCTAAATTGATAGATCTTGTTTCAGAAGTCATTGCCCGAGATTTCAAATTATTCTGGAGCTCAAGTAAAGGAATATTGTCTTCTTCGTCCGTCGTATTTTCATATTGAGCCTTTATCCGTTTCTTACGGTATTTTACCCTTTTCGTAAGTTCCATTAAAGGAATATCATCTTCACCAGAGGAAGATTCGCGTTCGTTTTTATACCTTCTTATCAATTTGTCACGAGTTTGCTCTACTCCTTCCATAGAAGAATTTTCGCTA